ACATTTCGTTCCGGCCCTTAAGCCATTTTAGCATTTTTCCAAATAATGCTACTTGATGCACTAGGCATCCATATTGAATCATTTCATACATTTAACATTATTTCATCAAATAATTCGTATGTACTATGATTCAATAACTCAATGGAACAATTCGTTTTTTTCAACAATAAAAATATATCACAAGGATACTACAACATTTATTTAACAAATAAATAAATAAAAAAATACATTGGAAACAAATTTCTCATTCCTATCTCGTAGTAGTCCTTCGAACCCGTGTGCCTTGTTCCATTTTTTAACCTGTTCACTCCACGAAGGGTGGTCTCGTAACACACATCAGGGGTACCTCGGTTGTGACCTTACTCGTCCAACCATCCACATTCTTTAACACTAATGAAATTGTCCGCAACCTTTTCACCAGGATGACGGTTTGCTTCATAGTGGCTGCTCACCTCCTCCTCACAATCATCTTCAGGACTAAACTTCCGTTTGCCTTTCCTTTGATTATGGTTGAGGTCGTTATTCACACTACAATAATCCATCACACCATCATTAGATCCTTCATGGCTTTTAGCCGATCCACTAGGCATCACAATAGGTAGTACCAATTGTGTGCCGTTAGCCACTAGTTTACCGGTTCGTGAACCAAAGTTCTCCGGAGCACCATCGTGTGTTTTTGCAACTCCCATGAAAATATCATTTCCAACGTTGTTGCCGTCAACTGGCATCACGGAATGTGCAACATCATTGCCGTTCCAACCATTTGAATGTGCACCACGAGCAACATTCACGATTCCAACACTCTTGGAATCCATCGACTTGTTCATCAAAAATAAATAAGGTTTTAAGATTGTTGGAAATAATGAATCAAAGTCGATTTAATATTGCAAAATAATATTTATATATACACACGAAACTATATAAAATATTATTTGATATATATCCGAAATATATATATATATATATATATATATATATATATATATATATATATATATATATATATATATATATATATATATATATATATGTATATATGTATATGTATAGTGAAAGGTTCCCGTGCGGTGAATGCTTCCCGTGCGGATGTGCGGTGGATTAATGTGCGTGAGATTTGTACTCAATGTGCGTGAGTGTTGTGCTTAATATGCCTGAGATTTGTACTTAATGTGCGTGAATGTGTAAAATGCAGCAGAAATATTGATGTCAGCTTCTTCCCCATCCCTAGTAGCATTTTTCCCCCTCCTTGATGATGATGATGCGGAGGCGAGCTATGGTGGTTAAAAATTATGGGAATAATACAACAGAAATCCACACTTAGCTGCTGTGCAAATGTTACTGTGCGTGCGTCATTTATATAAACATTCAACTGCACTGAAGGTAGCTGATAATCCAGAATCCATGGCCAAATTGAAGGAAGAAGTAACAAGAAGCTTGGGCGTTAATATGTGTGAGTTTCTGTTCTGCTTTCTTCTGAGCTCGTAATTCTGAAATACGCACGCACATTAAGCACAAATGTCACGCACATTAAACACAATACTTAGGCACATTAAGTACAAAACTCACACATATTAACATGACGCACATTAAATACAAATCTCAGGCACATTGAGTACAAATCTCATGCACATTAAGTATAAACCTCACGCACATTAATCCACCGCACATCCGCACGGAAAGCAACAAATGCACCTGATCCCTTCCCCCTCTCTCTCTCTCTCTCTCTCTCTATATATATATATATATATATATATATATATATATATATATATATATATATATATATATATATATATATATATATATATATATATATATCAACCAAAATGAAATTTATAATCCTCAGATTATAATTCCAACCAAAAGGAAGCGAAGTAAGGATTTACTGCTTGAAAGCATAATCCCAAAACTGGAGAAGAAAGGAGATGAAGAAGACTGGTAAGTACGAGTCGAGCGGAAATTCTTTTTCCTTAAAATGTTATTGTTGAAACTTAAGGTGCGTCATTCTAAAGCTTAAGGTGCGTGTTTTCAAAGCTTAAGGTGCGTCCTTTTAACACTTAAGATGTGCTATTTAAACATTTAAGATGCAGTAGTTCTTCATTTAAGGTGCGTCATTTTAACACTTAAAGTGTGCCATTTTAACACTTAGTGTGTGATTTTACCACTTAAGGTGCGTCTTTGTAACACTTAAAGTGCATCATTTTTAACATTGAAGGTGCGCCATTTTAACAGTTAAGGTGCATCATTCTAACACTTAAGGTGCGTCATTCTAACACTTAAGGTGCGTCTTTGTTACACTTAAGGTGCATCATTTTTACACTTCGCTTCTTTCTTCTCAGGATGCGCCTTTTAAAAAAAAAAAAAAAATCTTGATTTGAGCCTCTGTGTGTGTGTGTGTGTGCGCGCGCGCGCGCTTATTTAGCTAAACAAGATTTAAAATAGACCTATGTCTGCCCTTTTTATTAAATAGGCCAGGTCAAGTTAGGCTCAAACTAGGCCTAACAATAGGCCCTTATGAAGCAACCTAACCTATGGTGCACACGGTTGCGAACAACGCCGTTTTACTATGGTGGAGTAACGGTGCCGTTAGTGGCACTGTTTAACTCCACCAATCATTTTTTTTAACTCCAATCGACAGGATTTTCACCATTTTCAGTGTGGATATATAGTTCACTAATTCTGGATATATAGTTCACTAATTCTGGATATATATTCATTAATTCTGGATACATAGTTCACTAATTCTGGATATATAGTTCATTAATTCTGGATACATAGTTCACTAATTCTGGATATATAATTCATTAATTCTGGATATATAGTTCACTAATTCTGAACTTATAGTTCATTCATTCTGAATATATAGTTCATTCATTCTGAATACACAGACGCAGTGAACTGTCATAAGCCAAAACAGAGTACCAGTAACCTGTGTGGATATATAGTTCACTAATTCTGGATATATAGTTCATTAATTCTGGATATGTAACACAGCATAACGCCGTTAACGACAATCAAAAGTTTTTTTTTTTAAGTCGAACGCGTCTTTTTTAATCAAAACGACATCGTTTTTGTAACCGTGTGCACCATGCATCGTGCACACAATTGCACGGCATAATTTGTGATTTTCATCCTTAATGTACAATATATTATTTTGTTCTTTCTTCTTTTGGCAATATTGTTCTGTCTTTTAATCTTTTTTTTATTTATAATTGCTAATGAAAGCATATAATAGTATTTTGTTATTTTATGGTGTATAAGTATGTATATATTTGTATGTATATTATTTTGAATAGAGGTATTTTAGTTATTTAAACTATATTTATTTTCTATTCTCTTATCCAACTAAACACAAAAATATAATTCCTCCAAACAATATTCTTATTCTAATTGATGTTAAAATTCTATTATATTTCCCCCTTTTGGGGGTGGGAGGAGTACATTATATTATATTTTCCTTTTATTTTTATTCTTTAAACTAAACACCAAAGGGTGACAAAATACTCCACGGATTTTAACGTAATTGTGTTTCTCGGACTCCAACCTAAGACATCTTATTAAGCTTGAAAAGACATTTTAAATTTATATTGACTTTATGTATGACCTTTCTTTTCTTGAAAAAATATTGTATTGATCAAGTGCTAATGCACCTTTTTGGCGATGATGAAGAAAACTAAATACTAGTCCAAACGCATTTGATAAATACATTTTAAGAAAAACATAAACGCATTTGAAAAAAATTAATTTTGCCTACTTTTATCTAGATTTCGAAATTTACCTATTTTTATCCAAACTTTAAATTTAAATAAAAATGCTCATTTCTACCAAAACCCCTCAAACTTGTTATGTATTGATCTACCAACTCAGGGTATATTGCTTCTGGCATCAATAAAAATATGAAATGATGACCCAATTTAGACCAACACAATCGTTATGCCTTGGACCCGTGTCCAGCATGCTTGCTGGACACGGGTAACAGTGCCGTTAGGCACTGTTATCTCCTTTTTTTTTTTTTTTTTTTTTTTTTTTTTTAATTTCAGATCACTTTGTTATAGAAGTATATGTTCATAATTTTATTACTATATGTTAATAACTATATATTCATAACTCCATAACTGTACGTTCATAACTCTATAACTGTACATTCATAACTCTATAACTGTACATTCATAACGTCATAACTGTACATTCATAACTCCATAATTGTACATTCATAATTTTCGAAGCTCTATGTTCACAATTTTAGAGCTCTATGTTCATAATTTTATCACTATATGTTCATAATTGTAAGTTCATAATGTTAGAGCTCTTTGTTCATAATTCGATCAATAACTGTACATTCATAATTCCATAACTGTAGATTCATAATCTCATAACTGTAGATTCATAACTCCATAACTGTAGATTCATAACTCTATAACTGTACATTCATAATCTTCGAAGCTCTATATTCACAATTTTAAAGCTCCATGGTCATAATTTTATCACTATATATGTTCATAATTATAAGTTCATAATGTTAGAGCTCTGTGTTCATAATTTCATAATTGCATAACTGTACATTCATATTCATAATCAAAAAAAAAAAAAACGCCGTTAACGGCAAAACGCGCGCGATTTTTTTTTTTTAACTAAATGACGCGTTTTTTTTAAAAACGATGTCGTTTTGGGCCCGGGTCCAGGGCATAATTTGCCAGACCAACATGGTCAGTCTTTTCTCGGCAAATTACACTATTGACGGTGGTACACATTGCAATGTGAACCACAAATAAATGTTCATTTTTAGTATACTAAATGTTCATTTTTAATGTATTAAAAGTTTCCTTTAGTAGTATACCTAAAGATAAACTTTAAAATTTTAAACATTTGATGTACTAAAAATGAACATTTTGTATACTAAAAACAAACCTTATGTCAATAGTCCATCTTGTGAACCATGGTGTCCATGGTATAATGATTGCCCTTTCTCCTTTGCATTAAATACTTTAGTTAATCCTATATACAGCACAAAGATTTTATTGCATTAAACTACAGATCTATATAAACTTGGTATACCAAGTGTAGTTCAAAAATTAATCCCAAATTTAACTCGTTTACACCCCTCACAAATCTGCCTAGATTGGCTCGGTTCCAACAAAATCCCCCAAAAGAATCAATTTTAACTAGTCACTTGGACAATAAGAACATTGAGAATCAACATTTACAATGTACTCTGTGAATGCAGTTTCAGTACTAAAAACATGCATATATCAAAAGTCAAAACCTGGGAAAACCTGATGCCAACCACTCGCTTTTATCCCCACTGCGGGCCTGAATGGAGGATAACTTAGTGCTTGCGTTCAAAGTATAAATGGAACAATCTCGATATTTAACACACTCGATTGCCGATGGTCTGATAGAGAGACTTGAGCTGTGTGTTCCACTTATCTATAGCAGTGTATTTCTTCATTCCTTTTGACCTGGTCACAACATTACAAATAAGAAAAATATATCATGTGAAACAAGAAAACGGAACAATATATACGGGATCTTGCCAGTTCCCTTCTGCAACTACTTTAAACTATTTTTCCACCCTAGTTCAACGACGCAAAGAAACCCAAAGGACAAAAAGGAGTAAAATTCAGACCTGTCACCACGTTCTAGCAGTCTGTTCACTTGATCAATGTGACCTTGTATACGATTATCCAATATTAACGAGACCAACAACTCCTCAACATCCTTTTCTGGTACATTAAGCTCCTGTACATCAACAAGTTTTAGTGAACAAAAAGCAAAGATAGAATAGAAGGTAAATAGGGAATGTGAAAAAACAATAAATAAATAAAAATATTAATTGAAAACAAAACAAGCGTCTCTGCAGCTTGCTCCCTTGCTGCAAAGATACACTGGACACCTATATAATCACCTTGGATATGAAGGGGATCCGAATCCTTGTGTAGGGTTTGATGAGCTTGAGCAACACCTGAGTCCTCACATTTCTCAAAAGATCTTCAATGTAATTCCGTATGAATGGATCATCCATTATTGTCCTTCTATTACTCTGAAATATTTTACAAGAGCAGTGTAATCAAAACCATGTTAAGGATGAGCTAATTCAAGGACTTCAAGGATTTAGTGATTTACTACAGATTTAGCACTTAGAAGAATGAGATTGATAGACAGAAATACACAGCCAATCAAATCAGATCGGGATTAAGCTGTCTGATTTATGTTTATTTCAAAAAATAAAATTAAATAAATAAGTTATAGTACCAAAACAAAGAAAGGAACATAAATGTACCTTAAGGATTTTTTCAAACTCTATTATCTCATTCCGTTGATACGCTGCTATTAGGTTTGTCATTGCCAAAATTTCAGGGTCATTTTTATATCTAAAAGAAACAATAAGAAAAAGATCAGGCACAAGAGTAAACACAAGTGGGAGAAAGTGCAGCGTCATTGAGGGAAGATATTCACTGCAAATTGGATAATTAGATAAATACTGATAGGTAAATCTGTTAACTACTTACGGCTTTGCCTCTTGGCCATCAAAAGGATTGACCTCAGACTCCATCAGCATATTTGCCAAAACCAAGTATCTGCCAAGTGGAGGGAAGCAAAACAGTGCATTAAGAACATAAATATAGATACAACAAGCTAATTTACACCTAATTAAAGTATGTATACTCTTCAGACAAAAGTCAATGATATTGTTAGGAATCATGGCTGGCAAAGAGATAGCACCATCCTGGCAAGGTGGAAGCTCTAAAGGACTAAATCAGGAAAAGAGAGAATAAAGCAATAAAAATACTTCGTATTGTATAAAACTTCAATATATTAACTAAAGGCTTAATAATTGGATTCTTGGGACTAAACCAAAACTTTGCAACCAATTGCATATTTAGCCAAGCCTTTTAATTTTTGCAATTCATACAGAGTATATATTTTTATTCTTTTGGTTGCAACATCAGCCTATCTTAATTTTGGTCAAAACTGACCCTTCAGGTTTAATGATCATATTATTATTTTCAACCTTTATAATTCAAAAAATTTCCCTTTGAAAGATTTTTTTCCATAAAATAAGCAAGTTGAATCCTCTTGTTATAACACCAAAACTCTAGTTATTTTAATACATATACCTTGAAATTATACAATGCTCTTGGAAAAGACAAGGGGATTCAACATGCTAGTTTTTGGAAGCTAATAAAATAAAATTATTATAATAAAATTAGAAATAAAAGGGTAGTTTTTTAAAAAATTATTATAAAGCTAGATAGGGTCAATTACGGCCAAAATGGGGAATTGAATGAAATTATAACAAAATAAATTAATTTTTTTTTAAAAAAAAGTTTGTATATATAGCAAAAATTTAAAGGTTTGGCTAAAAATGCAGCTGGTAGTAATGTTTTGGCTTTAACAGTTATTAAGGCACAAATTGGGATTTAGGGTGGTAGTATAATTTACACTCCTTCCCATGTACTCTGTAGTAGATATGAGTTTGAACCCCATCACCCCATCCCCTATCAGATCTACCAAAAAATAAATTATATATACAAAGGTTATACCTAATAATGAAAATAAGATAAAAAATCTCTAGAATTCCTAAACTACAAGTAATAAAATTATGCTGACAGGTAAAAAATAAAAAAAAAACTATCCTGACAGGTAAAAATCAATTGTGTGCGACTGCAGCTTTTATTGTCAAATATATAGTGCTATATTATGATGAAACAATCAGAGACAAGACAGACAATAACTAAGTAAAAGTCATCCAACAAATTTCTGAGAAATGTCAGAGAAACAGTAATGCAAAGGGTTCCCCAGAGATGAAGATATGAGTATTGAATATGAAAAAATATCTTAAGGCTCAAAATAAGCTTCCTAACAATGGAACTCGAAAAATGGCAGTGCTATTACCAAGAGAAATTTCCCTTCAATCTGGATTTTTTTTGCCTAAGTAACAAAGGCAAGTAACAGTGGCAGAACCACTCATAAATCAAATTGAACAAACTCAAAGGTAGAATTATCTACAGCCAGATTAAAATGGGCATATCTTAGGGACCAATCCCGAAGAGTATTAATCAAAATATAATAAAGATTTGATATTTAAGCAACCAGTTCTAGACTTCTGGCCTCTGGGAAGCACTACACCAAACTGCAGCACCATCCTTATAAGGAAAATAGTCATGATGCTTCCCCCTCATTCCTCATGGTACTCAAAAACTAATGATGTGCTACCTTCCAAAGTAACTTGGCATCCTTCAAACCAAGCTCCACCCCAATGACATTGGTCAGGATAACCACAATTCCCTTGACTGAAAAAATGCAAGTCCCATAAGAATATCCAGAGATACCAGCTTTGACATTTTAGATTCCACTACTTTATCATCTAGATTCTTTCTCACACGATACATAACATATAAGCATATAGCCATACACCATTTGGTCTTCTAGGCATTCATCACACACAGTTCCCCTCAAAGTATCTCAGAATCATGCTCTGTATTATTTACATCAGGTTCCAACTTCTTTTCAGAATTCAACCAATGGAAAATCATAAATTTTCCAGTTCATCTTTGAGTAAATGACACCACCCATTGTTCTAGCATACATTTAAGTTTTTGGTCCATTACAAATAAGCTTCTGTGGTTCACTTCAGTGGAAGGATCCCCCAGTACGTGTTAGATCAAAGAGAGGGTGCAGATACTTCCAACTAAAAATAAAATCAAGAAAATATCATCTGTTCTTCCTAGATGTTTAAAAGATAAAACCGAAATGGAGAACATTCACGGAATTTTTTTTTTAATGGTGTTATTTATTGAACTAAAATCAATGATGGTAGATGCAAAAAGTGGAAACCACTGAATGAAGGAAAGATAAAACAAAAAATGCATGTAAAAGCCAACAAAAATGAACTGTGATCATACTTTAAACACTGGATACGCCTCTGGTTTCCAGCCTCATCATAGTTCTTAAAAGCTTCAAAGAAGTCTGTAGCAGCATCTGCCCACTGTCTCTCTGCCATATGCATTTTTCCTCCACATTCACGAATTATTCCCATGATACGTGGGTGAGGAATCGCTGATTTGACTGACAATGCTTTGAGATATAATTCCTGAAATAAAAATATATTCATATGAATCTCAATGTAGTAATTTGTAGATTCAGAGAAAACATATCATTTCATTTTCAGAAAGAAAAAAAAAATAAAAAAATAAAAAATAAAAAATAAAAAGACTATTCCATCCATTTCGAGTGTAATGGCATGGTATCACTAAGACAACTATAAGCAAAACTGAATGGAGCACCACATCTAAAACTTGGTTTAAAAAAAAAAAAAAAATTGGAGGAAAAAGGCTCCCATCATATTCTTGAGGTATACAAGAGTACAAGACCATAAAATATATACTTTTTTAATTTGGAAAAACTGGACATTATTTTCATGTCCTGAAATGGAAATTATGACTTTCAAAAGGAAGGCAGTGAAGATTACCCATCAGTGCATTTAAAACCCAATTATGTACACACACACACACACAATTCCAGCAAATGGGAAAAAGAAAAGAATGAAAATAGTGGGCTTTTGCTAATTGGTTAATAAACCATTAACAAGTACTAACCCTCCCAAACTATTTAAAATTTTAACCCATTAATTGAATAATAAGCAGTTGCAACAATTAAATTCAGAGTCCACCAAACACAGCAACCTGCCTCTTAACCCAACACTCTTAGAAGTTTAAATTAGAAAAATCAACAGTGAAATAAGAGAGTAAGGAAAAAGTTGTATATACAACTGTGACTAACAAGTCAATCCTATGATGTATTTGTAAAGGATGGGAATTGAGAAAGGTATAATCTGTTCAAGGTTATCAAGGCGGACTTTCTAGGCGAGATGCCACCGACTGCCTAGTCGACTAGTCGACTAGGTGACCGCCTAGGTGATGACTAGGCGATGAATATTAAATAAATAAAAAGTATATATATATTGAAAATATCTTGTCTTGGGCAGCCTTTTAGCTGGCATATTTACTTCAAGTAGATGAATAGTTTTTCCTAGAATAGTGAAAAGTCTAGTATTTATTGTATATTGAAAATATCTTGTCTTGGGCAGCCTTTTCACAACCCTATTTACTTAAAGTTGTCTTGAGAAGATGAATAGTTTTTCCTAAGGTGGTGAGAAGTCTAGTATATATTGATAACATGCCAGAGTGAGGGAGTAGGTTTTGCTCGGAACAGGAGGACGACGCCGGAGCTTGAACCGCGCCGCCATAAGAGCCACCACGCGCCGCCGCGGTGCCGCTGCTCCGACACCACGCGCCGGCGCGTGAGGCAGATTCCGGCGACCTCTCCGGCTGAAAATTACACCGGTCAACTCGCCTTAGTGTGTAGGTTCTGCCCATGTATGTTTTGTGGAGTTTTGGGTTGTATTCTATACTTAGGCGAGGCGAGCACATTAGGCGTTCGGTCTTGACCGACCGGACGCCTAGGCGTCGACTAGGCGTCGCCTAGGCGACGCCTAGATAACCCTGAAGCTGTTAGAAGAATCAGCCCTCAAATTGCACAAAAGATCACAAATGCAGAATGGCATTGGCCGGCAAGATGGAAAATTAATACCAATTAAGGAATTCATGTAGCTAGGTTTGTTTATATTTCACTTTAAAATTTTAAAATTATCACTATCCACAGTTACCAGAGAAATTAAGTACCGAGACATGTTAGCTGCCTGGCTACAACATAAAACCTTGAGTAGCCAAGTGAAGAGCTTACTGTCAAAGTATGATAAAAATCATGACTAAAGATTCAAACTGGAAGGCACATATAATGTTAATAAGCCTTAAATTACTTAGATAAGTTTTTCTTAAATCACTTTGCACCTCATAAGTAATTTAAATTGCACAACCTTGAGTGTAGTAACACAGAATCAGTGCAAGTAGGCATCAGTGGGAAGGTAGTTTCATAAAAATTCTAAGGCATTCAAACCTGTTAAGAAATGGTTCTAAAAAAACACACACAGGGCCTATATTTAGTAGTTAACATGCTTATCTTGTTTTACTTTTTAATATGTTCTAACAGATCTGTGTTTGCCTAGTGTTGATCGTTTCTATTTTTTAAATAATTCCCTATCATTTTGTGAGGGAGCTTACCCCTTGCCAACTATTAGACCAATTGAAAGAAATACAAAACAAAGCACAAGATAAGGCAATTCTTAACAATTGTAAGACATTGCAAGGCTTGGGAATAAAGCATGAAAGGCATATTTTGGCAAGCTTGCTTTAATTTCTATTTACTCAAAAGAGTTTTACCACATCTAGCACGTGCTCTCCTATATGCTCAAGGAATTCATTCAAGGTACATTAAGTCTCCATATGCTCTCCTAAATCTGTGTTTATTTTCCAAGAAGATGGTTATTTGTGTAAAAAGGGAGTACTTTATAAGCTCAAATACCTAAAGAACCAAAATATTCATATAAATCTCTATCTTCTCAATTTACTTTTGCAAGCATTTATATTATAAAAGGCTATCTATTTTACCCTCTGCCAGTTCCCATCTTTATACCTTCTCAAATTACTTTTGCACACATTTAGGTTATCAGTGGGTAACTATCTCACACTCTGTCAAATCCCATCAATATGCACAAGTTCCTAATATACTGATGATGTTACCATTCACAAACGCATACTATGCATAAGAATCTCAATTCAGAAACAACCAAGCAAACATACCCATTGAGGCAACAAATAAAATAATAAAACAAAATACGAGTGAAAAAGAAAGAGAAGAGAGGACAGGGGAGTGGGAGAGTGATAGCTTATTAAAGAATCAAAGATAAGTTCTCTAGATGAAATTACATAAGGAGCAAATGACAAGAGCCTATTGATCCAATTCCAAATTGAGAACTACACTTTAGTCAAAGAGAACAAGTAGCAAACATGCCACAAAATATGCTATAATCATAAAGTCACGAGAGAACATTAATACCATAATTCAAAACTCTAATGCATGAATAAAGGAAAACATGATGGATAAAGTCATAAAACAGCAAAATGGCTAGCATAATAATGTACCGTCCATGGAATTATAGGCTTAAAATGAGTAAAAATGTACTCTTTCTTTCCCTTTAAGCATACTATTTATTGAAAAATATAAGAGGAGAAAAATATATATACCATACCTTCAGCTTTTTGTTATTCTTAGTCTCAGTGTACATCTGGATCTCAATTGCATATACCTCCAATAACTGTGTACCTTTCTTCTGATCATCTGAACCATCTTCTTTTTTACATGATTTATTTAGTTCCTTCAGAATCTAAATAAAAATATAAAATATCTAGTTAGATTAACTCTCCATCTTAGAAAGTAACAAAATAGCCAGAGGTAAGCTGACAAAGCATACTTTGCTCATTCGCCCATATTCACCCATATCAAACCAAATTTTGCACAGCTTTAAATTTGTCTTGAACCATAGCCTCTGCAAGACAAAGAAAAGCAGTGTGACTTCTTTGAGAAAGTTTATTTCAATGTCAGATGAAACTAGAATATGACCTCATTCTTTGCTTCTTCAAGGGCATTCAGTGTAGTCTGGTAAAACTCTTGAAGGAGGCTAAAGTTCTGATTAGCTGATCCAGAAACAAAATCCATGATATTGTTTATACACTTTTCACTGTAATTTCGCGTCACTGCTGATTTAATGTAGGTCAGCATTTCTCTGTAAGCATCCATCATTTCTTTGTATTTCCCTAACTTATAGTACAGCTTTACAGTTTGCTTTAAGGCTTTAAATCCCCTAAAATATGGAAAATGAATGTTAGTATAAGTATCAACTAATTAATGCAAATTTAAGGCAAACACTCCTAGTCCATAAGAAATGGAAGGAATTCCAAAACAATGCCAACATGCCAATACAAAATAAACCCAAATACAATGGAACAATGGAGGATCAGTATTGAGGTAAACAATCCCAAATCAATGAGATAGGGAAATACTTGAAGAATATACCAATTGCCAACATGCCAATCAAAAGACTGACTTCAGTCTCTAATAAGGGGCAAGAATCAAATTGCACCTAATTATATTCAGCTTTGTTTTAAGAAAAGAAAGGAATATAATGATTGGGACAACACCAGTCACCTTGCAGAGTAAATTCAGGTTACCAAACCTGCTTAAGATTCCTCAATATACTTTTACATTACCATAAATTAATTTTTTGATTTACCATATTCAGACATTCACATTTTTTTTTCAGAATTTCAAGTTACTCACCACTCAGCTTTCTCAGGTTCCATCCGAACTACTTCAGCAAAACCCTCAAGTGCTGCTTCTGGGTCTGTTTCAACCAGTCCTGTGAGCAACACAGACAAGAATGTCAATTGGGAGACATTAAATACAGAAAAAGAAGGCAAAAATTCTCAGGCACTGAAATAGGAAACACTTATTTGTGTGTGTGGGTGGGTGGATGGGGGTGGGGTGGGGGTGGGGGGAGACTTTAACAGCAATTGTCAGTCTGAGTTTGCAACCCAGGTCTCTTCACCAATATAAGTGTGAAAATATCTCCTTAATAATCAGTAATCACAAAGAAAACCAGTAGTGAAAATCGGCGTACTCTGCCACCATTTGCATTCAACAGGAAATTCATCCGTATGTGACATTTCAGATCTGAAGGTACTTGTTAATGACATTCCCAAGTTTCCTTCTTAATTTTCCAATTGATTTGTATCTCATGCATTTAGACATTTTAGCATATTCAAAACATATGATCCACATTACACATTCAAGAAAAGAATTTCCAATGGAGTCGTCTATTGAATCCTTCCAACTGTTTTCGAGACATGAGGTGCGATGTAAAACCCATTCTAAGAGGGCTACTATGCCGAGTTATTGCTTTATGCCATTGCTTTCCTGCATCCGTATTGCCATTTTTATTCTTTTCTCTATGTCATCATGTCACGTCAGTTCAAGTATTAAGAAATCCTCTCATAATTCCTTTTAAGTCTATATATGTATGAATTTTTACATAACAATGAGCACGCTAAGATGCTAAGTGCAGTGCTCCCCTGCTATCTTCTCTTAAGATGCACGTGAAAACACATGTTCAGATAAAGCCCTCTATGTACACACTATAATGGGCATATAGTATTAACCACACTAATGTATGATAAGCAAACAAATTACCTTAAAAGAATTTTAAAAAGAATATACAAGTATACACAAAACACCAGACAAAATAATAACAGCAACAACAACAATAACAACACTGCTACACAAGGCAAACCTAATCACCCAAAAATAAAACTTGATCATATAATTCAGACATTCAAGCATTGAACACTGAAAATATAAAATCTATTTTAAAACAAAGAAAAAAAAAAAGTAAACCTTTGGAATTGTAATATTGGTTTTCAATTTCAACGTCCTGCTCTTCGGGCTCCTCGTCGGAGTACTCGAAGCCATAATCCTCCATATCCGCATCTACAACATTAAGTCATTAACCAGAAGATAGATAAATTTTACACACTGTACATTCAATTCCAAAAAGTATCCAAAAACAAAGCAAATCGATGAAGAAAATCACAAGAAAAATAAGATGAAGTAAATAGATTGAGAGCGTTTTACCGGAACCCATGGTCGGATTGAATTAGCAGAGGGAAGCGAAGCGAAAAGGTGTGAAGTGGGCTCTGCAGTGCCGTGGGGCGTGGGGTATCGAGCTTTCGCAACTGCGTTTTGAATGTTATTAGCAGAACTGAAGGGGTCTTTAAATCAACCCGGCTCCGGTTCGGGTTATCTAGTTTTGGGAATCCAACATACAGAGATGGCTACGGGCTGGTACCCGATCCTCCCAAATTCTAATGGCATGTCTCATAGCGATAGAATTGCAATTTATTTTCCACTTAATTTTCATTCTCTGTTTCAACTTCTCTACTAACAATTATTTTTTCAAATTTATTTTTTAGATTAACGTTATAAAATTAACACAAGTTTAATTTCGAGTAATTTTTAGATATTATATTTAAAATATTTTTACATATGTTTGGTTTAAATGGAATAAATTTAATTTTTTTTACTTTTAAGTCTAATAATATATGTAAGATTTTTACATTTGGTAACTGAACAAAATTTATATCTGTATACAACATAATAACTAAAAAATATATCTGAACCACTAACCTACAAAGTTCACCTAAAATTTAGTTTAGATAATATTAATATTTTTTTTTATCTAATATCTAAAATATTTTTTGAATATATTCATTTGAATGACATGTATATGAATATATAACTTTTACTTTGAATTCTAATATATGTGAGATTTTTCAATATCCGATATCTAGATCGAACTTGTATTACGATGTAACATAATTAAAAATGTTCGAACTAATAATCTATTGAGTTCAATCAAAATCTAAAACATTATATATTTAATTCTTATTTTTGATAATGTAAATAATGTCTAACTTTAAAGTGTAAGCAAATAAGTTATGTTTAAATAAGTAAAGTAGTTATAGTGACATATAACTAAATAGATGATAGATGATTCTGTTTTCTATTTAGAAAACAGTTTTTAAGAGTGTTCCAATTTTCTAGAAAACTGGTAAATCATGTAAAGTTTTCAAAATGGAAAACTGTGCTAGTAAACATGTTTTCTGTTTTTTATTTTCCAGTTTCCAGAAATTTCCAGTTAGTAAACGGCCCCCAAAAGTTTTTAGAGCTTAGTTGGAATGAATTGTGTTGGTCTCGAAGGATTTGGGTTACAAGTATTAGGACTCTATGTATTTGAGTTAGATTATGACTCCCTATCATAATCCTCTTGTGATTCCTTCTCTATATTCCAGTATTAGGAGGATGGTAATGGCAGCATTAATGGCAATATTCCAGTATCTTGTATCTTTAATTTGTAATTAATTTCATTGAATACAATTCATTCAGTTCTCATCTGGTATTAGTTAGCTAGGGTTTATGATAATTATTGTCATTAATGCTGCCATTACCATTGTCACGTGACTTCTGTAGAAGTCCATGAAAACAAATATTCAAACACAAATAGTTTGAAGAGCCCAACTTGTCGGGAAATTATTATATGCAATAGCACAAGTCGTTTTTTGAGGAGCGCCACATACTTCCTCTTCTTCAACAGAGAATTAGAAGCGAAGGACATCCGCTTCGCAGCAGCAGCCGATGGCATTGAACCGGGGGTACACCATGTGAGAAGCAGCCCCGCCAGCGACGTGACAAACGTGGGTTTAATATTCAATGTCAAATTTGTAATGGTTCTGATCACATAGGAGCCAATTGTTTTCAGTGTTATGATGATCAGTGTTAAATTTGTAAAGGTTTTGATCACATAGGAGCCACTTGTATTCGGCGTTATTCAGGGGCTTTGGGTTAATTTGGTGTTTCAGGATGGTTTTAGTGCTAACACCTTGTCAAATTCTCATACTTGGGTTCCGGACACTGGAGCCACAAATCATGTAACTCTAGACATAGCTGCCCTTTCTACATTGGAGAAGTACACTAGTAATGACACTTTACGTGTCGGTGATCGTATGAGTTTGTCTATTAGTAATGTTGGCTATGCTACTTTTGATACCCCTTCTAGGTCTTTTACGATGTTTGATATATTACATGGTCCTGGTCTGTTTACCTCTTTATTATCTGTTCAACGTTTTGTTATAGATAACAATGTGTTCTTTGAGTTTCATCCTTCTTTTTTTCTTGTGAAGGATATCACCACAAGGAAATCCTTCTATGGGGCAATAGTTTAGGTGGCCTATACACTTTGTCTGTTCTACGTTCATCTCCTTCCGCATTTCTCTCCGCTCGTTCTTCCGCTTCGGTTTGGCATGATCGTTTGGGTCATCCTCATCAGCGTGTCCTTAGTCAAATTCTTTAGTGTTGTTCGGTTAGTGGGTCTAGTCGTACTATTCGTTGTAATTCCAGTTTATGCTCAGCGTGTCAATTGGGAAAATCTGCACGTTTCACTTTGGCATGTGTTGAGTCTTGTTAGTTTTACGGCTTTTGGATGCCTGGGCCAACACCACCGTAAAATACTTAAACAAGAGTTTAGATGAATCAAAGATTGGAGTGAGGAGAATAATGAGGTATTATTTCTTTAGAGTTTCGGCCGCTAGAGTGCCAGAATTGTCGTCCCTTTACACGGTGATCCCGGGGGATATTTATACTAGAGTACAAGATTCCTACGAGGAAAGTAGGGCTGACGTAGAGCCAATTCTATATGGGAAGTAGGGTTGACGTAGAGCCAATTCGGATATGAAATCCAGCCTACCTCATACCATAACTGTCTAAGCTAACAAAGGAAGCTACTTAAAATAAATAAGGAAGTCTCCGCAAAATCTGCCTGTAACCGCCTCTGGACGCGTACCCAGTCGGTGACGCCTTGGGTGCCAAAGAGACGTCCTGACGAGCCACAGTGCTCGGGCGAGGACACCGCGACCGCGAAACTTGGTTGCCCGATTGAGTTCCTGAGTGGTACCCGGTCGGGGATACACCGCCCACGGAGCCTGGTCGCCCATCTGAATCCCGCACGGCATTCAGTTAGGGACACACCGACTACCGAAGTTGGTCGCCCATCCGCGTCTCCTATAAGATCTCAGTCGGGGACACACCGACTAGCGGGCCTGGTCGCTTGAAGATGGCTGACGGTGGTCTCCAGGCGCCTTACATGACGATTTGAGATCATAGGTGTTGCCCATCTGCTAAATATTGGGTCGTGCTTGAATTTGGCTGCCTTGCTCTACACCCCCGACCGGCTATCTGATTTGGGGTATCTATCACAGTCCCTCACTTTTTTAGGTTTAGCCGCGCGATGACTTTAAAAAGTAGAAAAAAGTCAAGGAAGCGTCAAAACTTCCTAGCTGCCTTGTTTTCCAATACTGACTGGTCCCTTGAGCGTTTGGTTGGTGTCTCGTGGCTTTCCTGACTAATCCCCACTTTTCCTGACTGGTTCTGTGAAGTGGTATGGTCGCTGTAATGCAACTATGACTACCCCTGAATTTCGTCAGTTAGGGTTTTGAGACGCGCCTTTCCATAACCGTCTTGTCAAATGTTACGTCACTCTTCCTCACTGTCCGATCGAGGACACGTGTCACGATCTCGACGGCCGTCCAAGCCTATAAATACCCCAACTCTTCCTCCCATTCTCCTCTTCGCATCTTCTGAGCTTCAAACCCTCCAGCGCTCTTTTCCCACCTAAAACTCAAGCCTCTTTCTTTTCCGGCGGCCGGCGTCCTAGCCCACCAAGTCAATTCCGTTCACCTCCGGCCGTCGTTCTTTCTCAGGTCAGTTTCTCCTCCGATATTCCTCTTATTTCCCTTTTCTCTTTCTTCTTCCCGCTGTTTCTTTATGTCGTCATCATCTTCATCTTCGTATTTTTCCGTCGCAGCGACCATCAGGGGAGGACTGCGAACCCTCCTGCCACTACTTCCATGGCAGCGGCGGCGGGAAACTTACCGTCGGCGGCCCCCACCGACCCCCTGGTTGACCAGGAGTCGGGGTTTTTTGATGTTCTTGATTAGCCAGTGGGTCGTCGATCTTCTCTCTGCGAGGTCGATTTTCTCCATGCCCGACGCTACTGGGTACGCTGGCCGTAGCTCGCCGGCCGGGTGACTGACTGGTGACTGATCCTCCCAATTGACTTGTGACACAACACTTGATCACCTCTACCATCCATATTGCGGGGTTAGCTAATCACACAATGCAATTGGCACATGATCTTAATCCGTTTTTCCCTTATAGTTTCAATATATTTCAAGCATCCTTTTCCTATTCCTCTCTTGTCAACCCTCAACTTAACCATACACTCGCTTGACCAAGAATCTCAAAGTATGACCAACCTCACCGTGACCCTTTCTCAACACTTCCAAGTTATCATTCCTTGAGTATATTAACCCGAGAATCTTTATTCCTACTCTTCTTTCCATCACATCCCCGCTAAAATAATAGACTGTCAAAATGGCGCCGTTGCCGGGGAATGGTAAACGGTAGTTTTGAGTTCGTGAGAAAGTGAGGAAGTTCAACACTTTGAATCTTGATTCAAGTTTCCATTCAACCATTTCTTTTCATTTCTTTTTGTTTTTCTTTACCCTCGAGTGTGGCTACTTCGAGCCATACGAAAAGCATGGAAACACATATAAAACAAATAGTCAAGTTGGTATCCGAGAGACCTTGGGGATCATTGCTAAGCACAACAAAGAACAATCCTAAAGAAAGAGTAAATTCCATATCAATTCAACTGATCCCAGGGACTGAAAGTTCCAATAGAGGAAAGAAAGAAGATGCCAACAGGGACAATGAAGAAAAATCTAGCAAAGGAAAGGAGGTATTGCAGGACACAGACGCAGAAAAGAAGAAGGCAAACTCCAGATCAGTAACGCCTCGTTACCGACCGCCAATTCATTCCCAAAAAGGTTGGTGAATATGGACGAACTGGAGCAACAAGGTAAATTTAATGCTTTATTGAGAAAACTTCATATTAATATGCCTTTTCTGCACACCTCAGGGGAAATGCCTAGTGATAAGCCTCAAAATATGCTAGTTTTTAGGAGCCTTTTTAAGGAGTTCTGTGCATGTTTTGATAGGAAAGTCTTACACTTTAGAGTGAAATGACCTAAAAGCACGGTTTAGTATGGAAATGCCTTCCTAAATATATTTTATTTGTTTTTAGGTACTTTTGGACGGAAAACGTGGTAAAAAGGCCAAAAAGGAGCAAAGCCGGAAAAAAAAGAGCGCGAACGAGGACCGAACACACCGTGACTGTGCACGAGAGAAGGACCGAATGGGAATTATTTCCCATTCACGCCCCTCCTCACGGCGTGAGGGTCCCGTGAATGGGGTTTAAAGGCACTGGACAAAGAGCTCAACACGGAGGGATTATTCCCTATTCACACCCATGCGTGAATAGGGTGACGAACCAGCTTGGGATATTTAAGGCAAAACTCATCATTTAGATGAGGAGTTCAATTCATCTTTCAACAATTCTAGAGAGAAGTTTCTTAGAGGTAGCCTTAGATTTAGGCTAGTTTACCTTTTCTCTTTCTAGGGTTTTAGCCTCAAATCTAGATACTTGGGAAGGAAGATTGAAGATCTAGAGTTTCTATAGCTTGGATCTCTCATTTCTCACAACCATTTGAAGGGATCTAGCTTGGATTTGGGTAAAGATTACTTTTGTTCTTCATTTAATAATATTTTGTTTTACCCATTTTGCTATTTGCTTGATCTTAGTTCATATAATGGTTGGCTAAAATTCTAGTAGTGGATTGGATCTTATTTATTTGTACTAAATATGCATTGATCTATTTGTTTGGCTTTGTGTTGATGTCTTGTTGGATGTGGATTTTGTATTGCCTTGTATATGTGTTGTACGTGCTCTTGCGTAAGGTTTAGGATGGGTGTATTGGCAAGAGATTGTGATACATCCTAGCTGTAACACCCCGTGTTACAGCCTTTAATCCTAGATTAATTATTTAATTAATTCTATTAATAATAATCAGAAAGGATTTAATTTGATTAGGATCCCCTTTAATTAATTAATGTGGTCCACCATGGATCGTGGACCCTTGCCTAAACGGGAGTCTTAAGCCTATCAGGAATGAAGAGAGTATGCATTTTACCAGTTGGACTCTAATTAGGAATCCTAGACCTATAAACCTAATAGGAGTAGAACATAGGTCTTTACTATCAGACTCTGATTAGGATTTCCAAGTCTATAAATAGCGGATTAGAAAGTAATTAGAAGCCTTACCACCCACAGTTGTATTACATGAAGTTATCCCTAGAAGAATCTTAGAGAAGAACCTTAGTAGCCAAGGATATTAATTAGGGCTAAGAGGTAACCCATGTCTTACAAAACCTATTTTCCTTGCTATATCTTATTCATTGGCTCCTTTGATAATCGTATGTGTAATTCTGTGGTTGAGTCTTGATAGAGCCTTGCCTAGGGTTTATATTGTGTTTATTTGATAATCTTGATATTCTTGATATTGTGATTGATTATATGAATGATATTGTATTTTAATTATGTCTAGAGCTTGTCCCTAGGGTTTGTATTGTGAATTTCGTTGTTGTGATATTCTTGGTTTACTTGGGTGGGTCTATGCATGATCGGGTGTTAAGTCTAGCCTAGGACTTGTATTTAGGACTTTGCATATAGATTTCTTGATGTTTTTGTGGTTCCGGATGCTCCCGAACCATTATATGATTGATGTGAAGTCTTGGCATGTTTAGGAATTGTGCTAGAACATATTTGGAATGATTCTTGATTTAATTCCGTTAATTGAATCTGTGGTGTTCTCGTTATGTGTTTGAACGTGTCTGGACATGGTTTCGGGTTCCACGAGAGATCTCGGGGCCAAAAAGTTGCATGTGTATCAGTGGGGGGTAGGTGGGGGCATGGGTACCCACCACCTACCCGCTGCCCGTATGTACTTAGACCTGACAATTATGGACACGACCCGTTAACACGACACGAAATCGGACACGAAAATAACGGGTTAGTGTTTAACCTTAACGTGTCCCGGGTTGTTAACGGGTTGACCCGTTATGTTTCGTGTCTTAACGGGTCAACCCATTAAACCTATTAAGAACCCGTTTAATCCGTTAATATTATAGTGTTAACCCGTTAACACGAACCCGTTTACCAAACCTGTTTATAACCCGCTAAGAACCATTGTCATGAATGAGATTACAAAAGATATTATGAACATGACTAATGATGAATTTACTACATTAGGCCAAGATCCTACACCATTCAACAATTTGAAATTTGAATTTTTATTGTGTTCAATTTGATTCTAAAAACTAGTATGGACTCCTTTAATTATGATTTTTGGTTGTTATTTTATCATTTTATGAATGTTATGGATTAAATATTTTTTAGTTTGTTTGATGGATTGAACGGTAGGTTTTATTTCTTTTTTTTTATAGAACTTAACTTTAAATTTTAGTTTTTAAAATATATTAATAGAAATAGCGGGTTTAAACGGGTTTCGTGTCGACACGACTTGAAACCTGTTAACAAAACGTGTCTATCGTGTCAACCCGTTTAACCCGTTAACAAATCGTGTTCGTGTCCGTGTTAAAAAATTGAACCCGTTAACCATAACGTGTCGTGTCCATGTTTAGCCTTATCGTGTTCGTGTCGTTATCGTGTCGACCTGTTAATGGACCCGTATACACGGTGCCAGGTCTATATGTACTATTCCAGCGGGCAGCCGGCGAGTAGGCGACTGCCCGCGGAGCACCCGCTGGAACAGTGAGTCGCCGCCAACGGGTGGCCGGCGGGTGGTCCTCCACCCGCCACCCACCCGCTGGAAACTTGCCCTGGTTCGTGATGTTTTTCCCCGTTTGATGTTTCCCCGTGTCCCGTTGTACCCCGTTTGTCATGTATGAGTCTCGTTTGATGTTTTGAGTATCGTTCTAGGAATTTATGTGTAGTATGCGTCATTGTTGTTATATCTTGACTGTTATTGATTGATTATGTTTTGCTTGATTAAATGGTGATGAGTATCGTGGTCATTGCGCAATGGCCGGTATGATTGATGATGATGATGAGATTGTGATTGGTGGAAATGAATTGTTGGCTGTTAGCACCACTTGTGCCTGGTCATTGTACTAAAGGTACAGGCCTAGCGGTTACTGTGCTAAAGGCACAAACCCACCTTTGACTAGCTTGCCGTTGAGCATGTGTCAAGTTATAAGTGCTGCGGTGTCATGTCAGGGCTATATGGGCTGACCCCTTGATATTGGCACTAGAGATGCAGATCATGTGAATGGCACTACGACACTATCTTGATATGTTGGTGGTTGAAAGGTGGTTTGTCGGTGGGGCATGTAGTTGCTTGGAGGAATAAGGGAGGCGATATAAGGGTGGCATGGAGGTATAGGTTGGAACTGATATAAGGACGGAGGGGAGTTACAATGTTGGAACTTGGTATAAGGTTGGAAGATGGATTGTGTGCTTTGATGATTACTTACTAACTGATTGTCTTGAATGCCTTTGTTGTCTCTATTCGCTATTTATACGCTTATCTGCCTGTTATGTCTTGCAACGTGTTCTTAAGATGCATGTTAGTCTTTATGATTATTCTATAATGTTGAGTCTGTTAATGTGCCTTGAGTCTTGATCTTGAGTTTAAATTAGAGTCGCGTAAGTATATATGTATTCCAGTTTCAAAATGATTTCTTATATCTACCTATACTGTACTTAACGCGTTTGAGTGGGTTACGAGCATTATTCGCTGACGGTTGTTACACCGAATGTTTTTCAGGTGATGAGCATTAGCTACAGAGCACGCTAATCAGAACCTTGGACTTAGCTTAATTAGCTCTGGCGTAGTAGATGGCCTGTGTGCCTTGGATTGTATTTGAATATTGATTTATGGATTAGCTATGCTTGGTCAGTTTAACCGTGCATCTAGGTTCTCAAACCTAGGTGTGACATAGCACCCCGACTCTTATGGATAGTTTATGCTCTATTTAGGAATTTAAATATTAGATTCGCCTTATTTTATAAGCTTTAAATATCTTAAAATTCAGGGGTGTTACACTAGCATTGTTCGTAAGAGTGTATTGGCAAGAGATTGTGATACACTCTAGCCCTGCTAGCGGGTAGTGTGTTTGTCTTGACTTGTGTTTGAGTTTTTGTACCACATGTATGAGTCTTGAGAAGAGTGTATTGGCAAGAGATTGCGATACACTCTAAGCCTTTCCACTTGCATTTCCCACCCTCAGATCTGAGAGGATAAGGCCCAGAATGAGATGTAGACAATGTGTTTGTTGAAATGCTCATAAGGAACGTGGTCACAGAACGGTGGTTCCACACCTATGAAAGACCTAGTAACCGAGAGGTGAACGACATTGGAAGTCATCTCGCCTGACTAGATCAACACTTGCCCAGATTCACTTCACACGCATAAAGGAATGAGAATTCCAATCCACTCCATTTTCTATTTTATAGTTTCTTTTATTTCTTTCCTCATCTTCTTTGTTATGTTTTCCCTTATCCTCTTTCACACATGCTCTCACTTACACTCCTTGCGCCTAGTTTATCTCTCATTAATGCACTGTGACACGTGATTATCTTGCACTCCTTTTACTCCGACTT